CCCCAAAACCCCAAAACCCCAAAACCCCGTTAAGGAAATAAGATGGATCCAGTTGAGAATATTAATATTAATACATATTAGATCAGGCATTAATAATTATTAAACCTAAATGCTTCACAAACGCTAATAGAGACCATAAATCTCCGAAAGATCACTCTCTGACCGCAGACCTTCCAAAGAAAGTTCCAATACTTTTGATTTACCCATATTGTAGGAAAACTATCAAGAGATTCTTCGCCTTCAACTTCATAGCACTTCCCTCCAGCTTATGGGGATGACTACAGCTACAATAGTGATGATAGCGGATCACAATATAATACAGAATCTAATATCTCCAATGTAAAACTCAAAAAAAAGCTCAATGACATCTAAATGAGTAAGTATATATATAAATTCATAAGAATCAGGAGATTTTCCTGTTCCCTTTGTTAACTCAAAGAATTCAAAATAATGTTAAATGATTTATAACTTTTGTCATATTATCATTCTCTCCTATCTTCTATTTAAATTTCATTTTGATTCTAAACTAATATATCAATATAGAAAAAGAACAGAAGTATTTCACGGAGTCACACTCATAACTGAAGAATTTGAATGAAAAAGATGAGGTTTAAACGATACCTGATGATGCTGAAATAATTACAATAACTGACGAAGAAGCAAATGAAATATATCTTAAGGTATGTCTGCAGGTATAGAATAGAAAAGGATACATAAAAAAGAACTGGTCAGATGACGAGACTAAGTTACTCAAATGGGCTGTCATAACCTATACTAAGCAGAGAAACATATCATATCAATAACTTGTAAGTATTCAAAGCCATCTTTGATTTCATAAATTTGTGGACGATTCAGTACTATTTCGGGGATGAATTATCTTTTGAAGTGTTAAGTAGATAAGAAAGTGTTAAACTTTCCGATTTTGAATGCTTCAAATAGTGTTAAGAGATTATCATCAAGTACCTAAAGTTCTAGATGATATTCGTCAAACATTCAAAAGATTTAATCCTAATATCTCCAATAAATTTTATTAACTGTTTACATAGACTATGAATGACTGGTAGAACATTGCAAGATTAGTACCTGGTAGAAATGACAATTAATGCCACTACAAATGGCAGAGTGAATACAAAACTCAACCACAAAAAGCTCCTTGGACCTATGAGGAGGATTTATTGTTAAAATAGTTAGTTGGTGAGAGAGGCTAGAAATAATGGCAAGAAATAGCAAATGAAATCAACAAAAAGATGGGGAATAATAAGAGACAGGGTAAGTAGTGCAGGGAGCGATGGATTAACTTCTTATCACCAGATATCAAGAGAGAGCCTTGGTCACCCAAGGAGGATCTTTTATTGCTTGAAAAGCAAAAGTAAATTGGCAATCAATGGGCCTAAATTGCCAAAGAGATCCCGGGTAGAACTGAAAACCAAGTCAAAAACAGATTTAACTCTATGCTTAAAAAGATAAGGGAGGAAAAGACATTCAAGAGCGAGGTAAAGGCAGGGGTCTAGGAGGCTCTTCTATAAATTGAAAATAAAGATGAAAATAAGAGTGAACTAGAGGAATAGTGGATAGAAGAGCTCATTCAAAGAAAGAAGTTAGATATCTTAAACATGCCTGAAGATGAAGAGTTTAAGGATGATGGAGATTTGAATGCCAACTACTACTCATAGGTATCTAACAATAAAGATAATTAAATGGATGATGATATTAGGAAGAATTACATGACCTAAGATCCTGTCTCAAACTCAAAGCATTTTCTTTAAGGTGATAGTTCAATGAAAAACTAGACTGGAATAACTGGAAGCAGCAACTAATAGTAATTTCAGTAACAATTCTAGTAGCAGAATAATAAACAGTCGGAAAGTGAAGGGAAAAATGGAAATGCTGACCTAAGATCCCAGTCATAACCTCCTCAAAATCAAAAATAAAATTAATCTACTTAGATGTAGTAATAGTAAGATCATCATCAATAACAGTAAACAATATTTGTATAATAGTAAACCATAAGTCCCATTCAACAGCTTATCTAATAGAATCAGTAAAGATAGTCAAACTTCATTTAAAATTAGCAAGTCTATCCAGGACACTAGTTTTAGAACATAAAGATACTGCAATAATAATAGCAGTAAAAACAGATGGTACAGGCATAGCAGTAGATCCTGACAATAGATTAAATCAAGCAATTCTTGAATCAAAGCTAACCTCAATTAATGCCACTTATAGATGCTTTAATTTAATCTAAGGTTAGTGACTAGGTTCAAATAATACAAAGACAAATACAATAGCCAGTAACAGGATTCATTGGGGATAATAAGGCTTTATATAGTAAAGGCCTTGGGGATGATCTTGAGAAAAGACTTCAAATCCTTTCTTCATTCAAAAACTCCATGACCAACAATAGTCACAACAGTTCACCATAGGATGGATCAGTCATTGTAAGAAGAAGATGCAGAAGTTAGTCTAATAAACTTAATGAACTTAAAAACAACCTTTTAAACTTTCACAAAATTGAAAAGTCGAGTGCTAATCCTAATGCAAATATAAATGTGAGCGGGAGCAATACATTAAGCATGGCAAATTAAAATAAAAAATCTGACAGCAACAACCTTAATCAATCATCTGGCTCAATTCAATAAGACCTGACTATCCCAAACGTACTGCCTTAAAATTCAAAGAAGTTTGTTGAGGTCCGTTCAGGAGAAATCTTATACGTTAAGGAAAACGGAGAAGCCTATTATTAAAAACATGCGAATGATTAGAATCTTATAATGATAAAAGAGTTCTCTCAGCTAGCAATTTAAGACTCCCCAATGAGTGTGAGCAGTCAAATATAAGAAGCTTCAAACTCAGGTTAGTAGAAATATAGCGGACTTAGCTTCCCAGTACCGCTAAACCCAATCCATAAAAAGTATGACCAGTAAGATCAGCAGCCAAGACAAGGCTTTACTAGCAACTGGAGTACACAGGGAAACCCAGGTTCAGGTGGAGTCATAATCCAGAGAACAAGTCCAGGTACTCAAGGAATCTTTAGAAGTGGAAGTGCTAATTCCTTGTTTAATCTTGGAACCCCAAAAATAGATCAATTTAGTCCCAATACCTTCTTGATTAATGGAGGAGGTAATAATAATGCTGGATAGCAACATTCTAATGGACAAAATTCAATTAATGGAATGCTTTAAAACTCTATAAATTCTCCATTTGGAATGACTAATACACCTCCATTTGAGCATCATTTTATAAAATCCAATAACTCACCAGGCACAGCTATTATCTATAACGGTACCCCTCTATTTATAAGTAATTCAAATGGTAGCCCGATGTAATTCACATAGAATATGGGAGACGGAGGTCAAAATGTTCTTAATCTTCTAAATAATGGATTAGCATAAACTTAGTCTATGTAGAACAATTCACCGATCATAATAAATCAAAGTGGATTCTAGGCCATAGGGCCAGGAGGTATTTAATAATAAAACTCTCCAGGACAGTTCATTATCCATTCTGGCAATGGTCAAATCACCTAGTAATAATTTACACCTCCTCTTTAAAGCAATCAAAATCTGATTGGACAAGGAAACAGTCTTTTCAGACCACCAACAAATAGGACTTAGCTCCACAAAGTAAATAGCAACTAGATGTAAGGTAGTCATCATCAGTGACTAGTAATGTGCAAAAAAGCTTTACCGGTTACTGAAAGAGTATCTTAGTCTTAGGAATCTGAAATTTGAACACTTCTATGTCTTCACATTTCTGTTTGGGAATCTATAAAAACCGGTATTTATCTTAACACATTCATTAAATTAAAATATTAAATTATTATTTGGCCTCGCAATTTATTTTTGCCGACAACCAGATAATCGTAGCTTTATTTTGACGGGGTTTTGGGGTTTTGGGGTTTTGG